ATCCACATGGTCAGCATCCTAGCTGAGGATTGCATCCCTTTTCCCATGAGAAATGATTCATTTGGACCCCTACTCTATTCCAGTCAGCATTAATCAGATTCCATATAGTGGTGGTGATTATAAGTTCTGTATATTCGACCCCAGAGCTGTGAACTGCAGGTTGTAAGTTCACTTCCTTAATCATAGGAAGTTAACTAGAAGCCCTCCACCCTTGTTTTTCCTTGTTATGGTGACCAAGCTCAACATGGTGGAGGTGACTCAAGTACATGAAAAGTCCCCCAACTTATTTTCATACCTCCAGACCACCCTCTCTTGCCCAACATGAGTAGGTGACCATCTTATGACCACTTGGTACCAGAGATAACTCTTACCTTGTCTATCTTAACTTTTGGCCCTTGAAGCAAGGTCTATCAATCAATGGGATTCCGTATTTTGGGTAACTTCTCTGGATTGGTCAGGTATCAAACCTTATGAAAATAAGGCCTGGGAGGAAGGAGGCATCTCAGATCATGGGGAAGATCAGATATCCACTTCATTAGAGGGGACCATGTACCCTTAACAAAGTACCACTGGCTCAGAGCTCTACCTCAGTGGTTTTTCTTGCAGATTGGGCAATAGTAATCTCCACATTCCCCTTCTCTTCATCCACATGGTCACCATCCTGGCTGAGGCTCTCATCCCCTTTCACCTGGACTATTCCAGTCATTTCCTCATTGGTGTCCCAACTCATCTCTCCCTTCTCCAATTCAGCCTCCAAGCTACTGCCAGGCCAATATTCCCAAAGCACAATTCCAACTCTGGGTCTTACCCTGCTTATGAAGGTTCAGCAGCTCTCTAACTCTTCTAGGACAAAATATAAACTCATTTAAAGCTCTTCACAGCCTCACTGTGGCCTACTTTTCCAGGCTGATTCACAGAATCACAAACTGGAGACTTGGAAGGGATCTCAGTGGCCACTCTGGGCCTAAAAGAAATCCACACTAGAACCTGTTCAAGTGTCAAATGAGTCTTCAGACATATGCTGTGGTCTAGTTGAGGGGTGGGGAACCTGAGACCTCAAGGCCACATGTGGCCTTCTAGGTCCTCAAGTGTGGCCTTTCTGAAAACCATCCCCTTAAAAAAAGAATTTGTTCTATAAAACTCGGACTGTCAGAAGGCTGCACCCAAGGACCTTGAAGGCCACACGTGGCCTCAAGGCCACAGGTTTCCCACCCCTGGTCTAGTCAAACTGGTCCACTCACTGTTGCCCACACACAATTCCATCTCCATGCCTTTTTTCTCAGGATGTTCCTCATGCCTGGAATGTCCTTTCTCCTCAAATCCACTTTACAGAACCATGAGATTCCTTTCAAGCTAAGCTCAAGCCCCACTTCCTACTGCCTGTCTGCTTCACCCAGTGCTAGTGCCTTCCTGCAGGTTATGTGTGCTTAACCCCTCCCCCAAAGAATGTAAGCTCTTGAAGGGCAGATACCATTTCATGTTTGCCTTTGAAGCCACTCAGCACTTGGCACAGAGGAAACATTTAATAAATGCTTGTTGAGCAAATTAAGGATGTTACCTGACTCTATCCATGAAGCTCTGATTTTAAGTTTTGGATGAGGTCATGAGATAACAGTCTCCAAGGTGTCAAGGTGAGAGCTGACTGCCTTCTTACTCACCACCCAAAAGCCAAGAGATAGAGGCTGGGAGACGGAGAGGAGGAGATAAGGGAGAATACAAGAATAGGAGGTGTCAGGCATAGGACAGGAGGTGAACAGTCACACACAGACCCAGATCTCCATCTAATTAACATCTACATGCATCTTCAAATGTTCAAAATGAATACATGTTTATTGAATGCTTACTATGTACTGGGGCCTTTTCTAGAAACTCCAGGGACCACAAAGACGGTAAAAGGAAGTACTTGCCCTCAAGTGGCATGAGATATGGGGGGCGGGGAGGAGACAAACACTCAAATGACCGGACGATGGCATAGGGCAAAATCAGAGCCAACAGAGGTGCACAGAAAACTGCAGAGGCTCAGAAAAGGGAGAGAGACTCCACCCAGGGGATGTGGTCAGGGCAGGCTTCATAAAAAAGGAGGCATTTCCAAGAAGCACAAGATTTCTGACCCAGAAAGGACCTTAGACAGAACTTAGCTCCTCCGTGAAGGCTTCCCCGTGTTAATAGCACTGGCGCTGTCCCTGGTGCTAAAAGGGTCCCTGGTTTGGGACCGGGGAAGAACAGTACACCTGCGCAGGCTACACCCTCCCCAGGGAGGACAGAGGTGAAGAGTGAGAGAAAGCTAGGCGTAGGGGACAACCCGTGAAAGGCAAAAGGCAATGGCTGGAATGCCATATATGAAAACCAGCAAATGGTTTCAGGCCAGAATATTGAGTGAAGAGGAGCAATGTGAAATCACTGGAAATAGATGTTGGAGCCAGATTGTGAAGCCAGACTGAAGGGGTGTTACTTTAAAGGAGAGGGAGGGGGAAACTCCCTGAAGTTACTTGAACAGGGGAGCTCCTCTGGTTTTCTTTGAGCTTTAGGAAGATGTTAGCAGGTGTACTGAGGATGGATTTGAGCAGGAGGAATTAGAAATGAGAGACTGATTAGGAGACTGTTGCAATAGCCTTGAGGAGAGGCTCATGGACTGGGGAGAAGAACGTGGTGGGGGGGGTGTAGAATTGACAAGGTGTGTAAACATTGGTTGGGGTGCAGGGTGAATGACATGAAAGAATGAAGGATAGAGGGCGATCAGATGAAGAGACATGCAGAGACACAGAGAGAGACAGAGATAGAGAGACAGAGACAGAGAGAAACAGAAACAGAGGAGAGGATGCTCCCAACATCCAGACCAGGGGTCAGCTAATTTCAAGCTTGTTAATAATAAAGCGAGGAATCCATATGAATACAGAGCTAGTAAGTGACTGAGGCCAGATTAGAACTCAGGTCTTCCTAACTTCAGGACCAGCATTCCACCCACTCCATGAGGCCACCTAGTTTCAGGGTTTGAGAAGTGAATGGGGTGAGAAGATGGTGATGACTTCTGGATTCTCCTTCTAGGAGTTTCTCTAAGGGCACAGAGATCTTCTGAAGCTTTCACTTTTGCAGCAGGGAATAGAGCTCCAGCTGCCTGGGAAGATCCTTAACTCCTAGCATTTGCTGAAATCCTCCCAGGCAGGCTGGTGGGCAGGTACCTCAGGGGTGGCCCAGAAGTGCAAGATTTGGTCAGGGCCCATACAGGAAGGATCTTGGCCTGGGCTCCCACAATCTGGATAGGGCAGAGGGTAGCCTGCCTTGGAAGGCCTTTGGGGGCTTGAGAGCAAGCTGTCAAACCCCTGGAGTTGCAGAGAGATGGAGAGAGGAGACAAAATCAAAACCAAAATGCCCTTTTCCCATAGGGAATGCCTGACCCGAGTCCTGCAGGGCTACAGGACTTTGTGGGGAAATTCAAAGTCTCTTCTTCCTCCCCACCCCCCCACAGAGGAAAGTGAGAGGAGTGTGGACTGCTACCAAGGGCACCCCAGGTCCCCAGTGGATCTACACGTTGGTCAACGGAGACCAAAAGCCCCTCAGACTGCTACTATTACAGCTGCTACTCCCTCCCTTCTCCCCAGCTGCATACCTGCTGTAACTGCAATGCCAGGTTCCCTGGAGTAGAGGGAAGAGGCTCCAGGCAGATGTTCCCAGACAAAGGTCTCCCATCCCCATCCCCAGCCAGATTGTCCCTCCCACAGATCTGTCCAAGGAGTGAGGAACCTTCAGCCTTGAGGCCACAGGTGGCCCTCTAGGTCCTCAAGTGTGGCCCTTTGACTGAATCCAAACTTCGAAGAACAAATCCCCTTAACAAAAAGCCATCGGCCCAGGCAGGGAAGGGAGAACTGGCATGGAGTTCAGCAAGAAACCCTGAAAAATTCATCTGCCACTTCCACTCTCCAGCCCAGGCTGGGAGAACTGCTGACCCGCTGCCCGCCCAGCTCAGCTCAGCCCTACCCTGCCCAGCCCTGCCCGGCCCAGCCTAGCTCAGCCTAGCTCAGCCTAACTCAGCTCAGCCCTTCTTCCCCATTCTGTCCCAGTTAGGGCTGTGTCTGAGAAGCTCTGTCCTTTGCAGAAGGTGGCCTGTATTGTGAGGAATGCCCTGCTGGGACGGGGTTGGGAGCAGGGTGGGGAGACACTGCTGAGCACCCCTTCCCTCCAAAAGAGGGGCACCTCTGCTCCTTCAACCCAACCTCGTACCCCGAGTAAGGCCTGGCATATAGCCAACGAAACATCGATCTCCACGAGGCAGACTGACGGGGCCCAGCTGCTCCCTGCTCCCCCAGCCCCCTGCTCTGGCTCTTCTCTCCTCTGGACTCTAAGCTCCCCTCGCTCGACGTGCTCTCCCTCTTATCCAAACCCACCCCTTATTCCTGCTTTCCATTCCATGCTGTTCCCCCCCCCCAACTCCGACACACAGACATATACAAATAGACACCCGCACACACGCTAGATACGCACACTTTCCATCCTCACCCACCCAGCTAGTGTCCCTGGACTTGGAAGGGGAAGGGAAAAAAGAGGAGGGAGGTGGAGTAATCAGGCGGCTGGGGGGGGGGGCGGTGAGGAGTTGAGCGGGTGGAGAAGGAAGAAGAAGAGGAAGATAGGAGCGGGGGAATGGAGGAGAAGGAAGGAGGAAGGAGGGCACGCGTTACCTGGAAGCTCCCAGGACCGCACAGGCGGCGAGGGGCTGAGCCATAGCCGCAGTCCGGTCTCAGCCATAGCCACAGTCCGGTGTCAGCCTAGAGGGCTGGGGGGCGGGGAAAGGTGCCGCCTTAACTCCCCGCCTTCCTCCAGGACTCTGCCTTTGCTTGAGCGGTCGACGCCTCCGGGGCAGCTCTCTTCCTGCCTGGGCTGGCTAGGCGGCCAGCTGCTGGGGCTGCCTTGGCCCCCATTCTCCGCAGCCTGCGCGCTCAGGCTACCGCCGGAGCTGCGTCCAGCGCACCGGGGGCGCTTCTGGCCTCGGACTAGGACGGGACTTAACTCCGGGAGGCTAAAGCTCTGGCGGGTGGCTCTGCCGGCTGGCTGTGAGAAAAGAGTGGGACGGACTGACAGACGGACAGACGGGCAGACTGACCTCCGAGACCTCAGCCTCGTGGGAGGCGATGCCTCCTTCCCCGGCGCTCGCCCTCTTCTACCTGGGAGTAAAGACGACGGCTGGAGGCTGCGCTTGAGGGCTGCTCTGCTCCGCCGGGAATGCAGTGCGGGCCTCACCTCGGTGGGGGTGAGCTGCAGCTGGGCTGGGGACTGAGCGAGGACCCCAGAGGAGACCAGTGAGAAAGCGGCAAAAAACAGAGCTGGGCCCGCTGGAGGGGCACAGAAACCGGCCATCAGGTAAGTTCCCACAAGTTTGGCATCCTGCATCGGAGTGGGGGGGTACCCCGAGGGCAGGAGAGGAAACCGAACCCCCTAGGTGGGCGACCAGGAGGGAGCGGAGGGAAGGAGCTGCGGAAGTTTGCGGAGACAACCAGGCACCCACCTGGGCTTTGCGCCGGAGTGCCCCCTGCCCCAGAACCCTGGAGGGGGGTGGCAGGGAGGCAGAGCCGATGGGGGCTGTGCGCGCCCTCCTAAGCTAGCTGAACCCATCCCCGACGCGCCTGGCTTGCCCTGCTCTGTCCCAGCCAGAGCCCCCCAATATCTTATAGTGCGGTGGGGTGGGGGGAGGGTGGCGCAGGGGACGGGGCCTCGTCTCTTGTAGCACACGCAGCTTGGTGGGCGCCTCTGCCGCCGGCAGAGACGGTAACTGTGCGCGTGTATGTGTATACCTGGGTGCGCGCGGGCGCTGGTGGTTCTGGAGTGTGCACGGAGCCCGGAGCCGCCTGACAATGAAGGGGTTGGAGAGAACCTGGAGCGGGTCAGGAGCTGCCACTGCCTACCGCCGGCTGAGGGAAGATGGATGCCCGCCGAGGCTTGGAGTGAGGTTGACTCAGGGTTCCCGGTCTTATCACAATCTGAGCGCAGCTGTTAGAGATATTCTCTTATTAAGATGGCTATTGGCGGCGGCTGCTGCCCGAAAACGCAGTTCTTGAAGTCAGGAGTTCTGGGTTCAAGTCCTGCCCCCAGATACTTCGTGGCCGGGTGACCTCTCGCTTCTGGTTGCCTCAGTTTACTTGGCTATAAAGTGGGCAGAATGACAAAGGAAAGAGAACTCTTGGGCAGTAGTGAGTGGGCAGCGCTGTCCCCGGATCCAGGAGAAGCCTGGCCTGGGGCTAGGCCGCTGCTACTGCCGCTCCCCAGATGTTTCGTAGACCTCAAAGTTACCAGAAGTCTTTTCTTTAACTTCAGGGAGGTGGACAGGGCTTAGGCAGGGCGCCTTCTTCTAGACGGGTCCCAGATAAGCGGACAAGTCATCCTCCCGCCGCCCTCCCTCGGCAGGGAGCTGGCCTGGGGGTGGGGGGGGGGCGCAGCCAGCCATTGTTAGAGTGCGCTGGTGCTGCTGAAGGCCCGCCCTGCTTCGGGCGGTTCTCACCGGCCTGTCCCCGAGAGTCCTGGGTGGGAAGGAGGGTGCTCAGTCTTTTTCCTGAAGGTTCTTCCCTATGCCGTAGGAAGGGATGGGATGTGACGGGATAGGATGACAAGACAGGAGTAGACGGGTCGGGAAGAGATAGGATGCAATGGGAGACTTGGAACGGCTAAGGTCTGGCCGGTTGATGTTCTTCCTGAGGTGCCCCTCGGCCTGGAAAGATTCAATCGAGTGGTAATAGCAAAACACTCACGGCTGCTATGGGGAGAGGGGGGAGGGGGAAGGAGGGAGAGAGACAGAGAAAGAGAGACAGACAGAGAGAGACAGACAGAGAGAGAGAGAGAAAGAGAGAGAGAGATCGGACTAGCGGCATCTCAAGAACCCGTGATGGGCTGTGTTAAGGATAAGGCCCCAGGTACCCTCGTACTGCTTGGGGAAATCACCCAGAGGCCTGTGCCTGGGAAGGGAAGGGGGCCACAGAGGTTGGTTCTGGGAGACCTGTGCATCCAGTTGCCTGCCCTATTCTGCTAGTTAGGGACACAAGACACTGAAATGGCTCTCTGTTCTTGCCTGATGCCCACAAACTTCCCAAATGGGCAGATGGGGCTCACCAGTGACCCCAGCTCAGGAAGGAGAGCTGTATTAAAATATGCAAATGATAGACTTCTGTAACCAAATTATGATACTAGACCAAGATTATTAGACTTTCAAAATGTCTGCAGTCTCTGTGCGCAAACTCTTAGGATTGCCTGGGCCCCCACAGCCAGACTTGCTTTGGTTTCATGCCTTGAACCTGAAGTTCATTTTAAGAATGATTTCCTCAACTGGAGAATTGCTCTTATGGATTCAGGAAGTGCTCCCAGAATGGCTATTGGCCAAAGTAACATGCTGGTAACCCCAGTGACCCTTCCTGCCTCCTGCCACTGCATCAGACAGGTAGGAGGGAGACTCCTTACCCTTACAGCTCCCCTGCAGAGGAGCAGGAAATAAGCCAATAGAAGTGGTCTTCCTTTTTTCAGGATTTTAGCCCCTGCCAAAGAGCCCAGAGAGCAGCCCAGCCAAAGGAAGACACCAGCCCTGCCTTTCTTCAGCCCTAGAGATCCCCCACTCTCTTCTTCCCTGTGCATAGTTGATATGAATGAAAGTCGAACTCATTTTACTGCAATCTGGCCTGGTCTGGTGAATCCTCCGGTCTGCAGAGCAGCTAGAAGTGGTATCCACAAGCCCCTAGACCAGGGAAGGACTTGACTGAAAAGCCAAAGCAGACTCCAACCATCCCTCTTTGTCACCCCCTTCCCAGCTTTCATCTCCAACCCTGCCTCTCAGAGCCTTGCTCTAAAGAGGAGAGTGGGACTTTCATCTTCTCTCTATCTGTCTGGGGCCCAGAAAGCTTCTAACCAACAGGGAGAAAAAGAAAATTTCCCAATTGGAGCCAGTGGCTTTGAAATTTGAAATATGTTTGCCAAGTTGGGGCTTAGGAAGTCAATCCTAAATTCTGCTCTGAAATGCTCCTCCTTTGCCCAAGGCGTCTGCTCAGATCCTTTCAAAATAGGGTGTAGAACCCTGTACTCTCCCCCCGCTTTGAGGGGAAGCCTAACCAGACCTCAGTGTTATTTATAAAAACCAAGCCCGTAGAGTGGTCAGTGATCAGTTTATATTACTGTTCCATGTTCATTTCAGCCACGTGATCTGTAACGCCAGGTGGTGAGCTGGAGACATCAGGCACGGACTGTGGTCATGGCAGCTGGTATGCCAAGAGCACACCAGCACATACCTCCATCCTCTCAGGGCTTTGCAGAGGTAGGCTCTGACCTCCAAGATTTGATTTCAAAATTAAGTGATAGAGGGGCAGCTAGGTGGCACAGTGGATAGTGCACCGGCCTGGAGTCAAGAGGACCTGAGTTCAAATCTGGCCTCAGACACATAGTATTTCCCAGCTGTGTGACTCTGGGCAAGTCACTTAACCCCAGTAATTGAGTGATAGAGAAGGGATACTGTGCAAGTCCTACTTCTGACAATTATTATCTCGTTGGAGCCTCACAACCACCCTGGGAGGAGGTGCTACTATTATACTCATTTTACAGATGAGGAAACTGAGGCAAACAGAGGTTAAGTGACTTGCCCAGGATCATACAGCTAATACGTGTCTGAAGTGGGATTTGAACTCAGCTCTTTCTGACTTCCAACCCAGCACTCCACCAGCTGCAGCAGAGATGATTTCCCATTTTAACGGCTGTTTATTATTGCTTGTATGTTACCTCCCCTATTAGACTGTGAGGTCCCTGAAGACAAGGACCGTATTTTTTGCATTTCTTTGTATACTCAGCACTTAGCAGTGCCTGGCACATGGTGAGCACTTCACTCTTCTTACCAATCAACTGACAGTGTTCATAAGAAGTCTGGACCAATACTAAACTAGCAAGGTACCCATGGAGGGAAGATGTGTGGTGAAGGCGACTCACTCATCTCAAATGGTTCTACTGGCCTCAATGTCCCTCCTCTCCTCACAAAATCCCATCTACACTTTACTGGGCAGAGATGAGCAGATAGGCAGCTAGGTTGCAAAATGGATAGAGCACTGGACTTGGAGTCAGGAAGACTCATCTGGCCCCAAACACTTACTAACGGGGTAACCCTAGGCAAGTCACTTCACCCTGTTTGCCTCAATTTCTTCTGAGTTGGAGAAGGAAATGGCAAGCCACTCCAGTATCTTTACCAAGAAAACCCCAAATGGGATCACCAAGAGTTGGACAGGACTGAAAAACAACCACGCTCAAGGCTGGGTTCCACTCTAATGTAATCACAGAGGGTCCATATGCCTAGATTGAACCCACCTATAACCCTTAATCAATTTGAAAAGATTATAGAGTTTGAGCCAGATGAATGGCAGATTATATGGCACAAAAAACATCTTGTGATTTGATGAAAAAATTTGACCCATTTCTGGGACTACACATACAAATAATCTGGTAGGGGCCTCCTTCAAGGGTTTAAACAATTTAGTGGGGGAAAGAATCCAGTTTGGGAGATTAGGTTGGAACTGAAACCTGGAGGAGGGGGAAAGGAGGCAAGGGAAGGAAGGGAGACCCTCCTCCTCCTCCTTCTCCTCCTCCATTGACCACATCATCTAGAGATAGTGGACCAGCAGCAGAGAGAAGGGCTGCCTATTCATTCTACCAAGGAACCAGCACCACATAGAGACAAGCAGAGAGTTATGGGGAATTTGACAACAACTCTATAAATGGAGAGGCTTTCATAATCAGGAGTTGTAGGTTACTCCTTTGCCATCTATTCATGGGAAAGTGTACTCCATACTTTTGGGGAAAATGTTTTTTAAATACTGTTTCTGCTATACCATCTTAGTGAATACCTTTGTTTAAAAAAGCTAATAAGTCACCTGACTGATTTTTAATGGTAAGCATACTGGTAGGGGCTCATGGGTTGACAATACTAGAAATCCAGCCGCTGGTGGTTACCCTCTAGAACCCTCAGCCACTCTCAGCATACCTGGCCCAACAATGAGTGTGGGAGGTAGAGGGAATAGCCCTAGAGGGGGTGTTAGACAAATATAAAAGAGACAACCCTTGCCCTCAAGAAACTTATGTTCTAATGGGGAAGAAAGCACGGGATGGCTAGCAAAGGAGTGGATGACCATTTCCAGAAATGATGATACTGTTGGTTTGATTGTTGTGTCCAGGAAAAGAGGTGGAAAAAAGGTATGGGGGAGGGGAGGCTAGAGGGATGGGAAGGCAGAGGCTACAATGGCCTAGCTAGACAGCTGAAAGAGCAGCTGGGTAGATGTTTGGCTGGACAGGATATAGAGATGAAACATGGTCTAATGTCTGGGCTCAGCCAGGCACTAGATACTTAT